AAAATGGTCTAAAAAGAAAACGTAATTTCATTTTTTAAAATTGATTTATGTAAAAAAATACATTGTGATTTCTAAACTCATAAATATAATTTTAAGTGCTTTATACTCAAAATTCCACAAACTAAAATCTATTGTCCAATATCGTTTAAGTGCGATAGAACATGAACCTCGGAATATATTTTAGAAATACAAACAAAATTAGAATCATAATGTTGTTAGCATATTTAGAAAAATGGATTGGATCGAACTGGTCGTAACTGAAATCAATCGGTTGATCAATTTGGCTCGAAATGGTTAAAAAAGTTCAGAACTGTCCAATTGGATGGATCCAAATTTTTTCATTTTGAATAATAAGTTTTGATAATATATTTCTCAAATAAATAAAAATAGATATTTAAATACTGAATATTTATAAATTATTATAGTGATTAGTTTAGAAATTTGAGATATTTAAAGTAATATATATTTATATACCAATTCAAGTGTTGACTAATGTACTTGTAGCTTGGTTGTTAATTCCTAAATAAATAAATATATAAAAACAAAAAATATAATTGAAAAGTGAACTAAAAATAAAACCATATGCACCATGGCTAGATGGATGGAAACCAAATAAAAGACAGTATGATCACCTTTTATTTTTATTCATCTGCAAGAGTCTTGTTTGCTTATGAGTGACCTATTAAAAATAATTGATTTTACATCTAATGTAAGCTTTTTATCCAAAATTAATTTGAGTGAGGGCCTAGGCCCATACTGGACTCAATCTACATCCGCCCCTGATACCATAGATGATTAAAGTTGGTGGGTTAAGCGGTGGAGGTTTCACGATGCCATGCCCGAGAGGCTCAAATAGTTTTGTCTACTTCCGTCCAAGCAGAAGGCCCAGCTGGAGTGGGACAAGAGACATGCAGAGAAAGGTAACTACTCGAATGAGCACTGGAGGATTAAGGTGCGAGACGAGCGGTTCAATAAGTGCATTGACCCGTACTGCAAGTGGCGGAGCATGTTGAGGTACTGAGGGAAAAGAACTGGACATATAGTGAGTTATCAGTTCCTACTAGGGATGTGCATAATTCGACTAAAACCGAAAAAACCGACCGAAATTGACCGAACTGAATTTTTGGTTCAATTTCAAATAGTGATCGATCGATTCACGAATCCTACTCAATTGAACATTTCCTCTCCCTTTGGTCGAGACTCATTTTCTTCTCCTTCACTTCGCTTTTCAGTCGGATACGGTTTTCAATTTATAATTTTTTGTTTATTTCAGTCGGAGTTGGTTTTCGAACATCAAATGTCCGAAATAATCGAACTGACCGAATAATATATATATTATATTATATTATATATATTATATCATACTATATATATATATATATATATATATATATATTATATTATATTATATTATATATGTACATAATTTAAAATGTACATTTTCGTCGGTTTGACCAAACTGACCGAAACCGACCAAGAAGTTTAGTTGGTTAGTGTTCGGTTGTAATTGATATAAAATTCGGTCAGTTTCGGTTATTGGCATAATATAATTCCGTTATTTCGATTTTTCTAACTCGATTCGGTCGGTTGATTGAACCGACCAATGAACACCCCTAGTTCCTACTCTGCCAGCATTGAGTAAGAACTGAGTTGGGTAGGTTTCTGATTGATACAAGAGTTTTTGAATGTTGGAATCTCTGTGTGTAGATAGAGATTTTTCTTTGAGCACTTTGGTTACTCGTCTCTATTCTTTTTGAGGATATGTTACTTGGTCTTTCCTTTTTGTTATGTTTCATTATTTTCTTTCTTTATTTGGTGATTCAAGGACTCGGGATTGAGGGACTTCATTAAATTAGAATCTTAAACATATTTTCTTTTCCTCTCATCATCTCGTAGAGAACTTCTCTAGGAAAAAAGAAAAAGAATGTCACTATTGCTTATACTTTGATATGTTTTGTTCCCATAACTGAAATACGCTCTAACTGTACTCATATAGTCAGTACAAAATGAATTTCTCATTTAATACGCTCAAAGTGTATTAGTGTAATTCATTAGTCAAGATCAACTAATTTCAAAATTATACTACAATCATTTACGATAGTTTAGTTCATTTCTATTTTGGTTGTGAACCATATTTATATTTTACAAAGCACCAATAATATGATCTTCTTTCAACACAATAGATCATATTATATACAATGTAAAATAATTTACCTTTTCACATAAACATAATTGAAATACAAACACACTTAGCTAAATATGATTCTCATTCACAATATAGGAAATAAGTCCATAACAAATCCTATCTTTCAGTAAACAAACATAAAGATTTTTCTAGTATTTTTGGTTAACCGGCTTCGGTCTGGAGTTTCTTGTTTCGTGTTTGATGCAGCTGCCTTAGGGTCTGGGGTTGCCGATTTGCTGGTAGGGAGGGATTATTCTAGTATTTTTCGTTGTGTTTAGTGTTTTGTGTGTTAGTGTTTGTTACGTGTTTAGTTTGTTGTGTGCAGTGTTTATTCTCTTTTTGAGAGTTATATTCTCCTATTGGGAGCTTGTGAGTGTGTTGTGCGTGCTTCGATTAGGCTGCCTTCCGAGTTGTCCTCCCAAGGATTACAGCTGCGTAGCTGTTCTTTCCGGATGTTACCGGTTGTTATCTGCTTGTAAATATGTGTTCTATTTATGAAATTATGCCGTTTGAAAAAAAAAAAGTAAACAAACTAAAAGTAACAAAGTATACAAATTAACAATGTCATCTTCGAGAGAATAATCCAGATGCACCCACAAAGAGGCACTAGCTGAAAAAGTGAAAAACTCAATAAAATATGAAGAAAGTGACAACTCTCCTCAATACTCTTAGTTCGAGCTCACACACACTCGAAAAGGTCGAGAAGAAATTTAGAGTGAAAGTCCTTAGAAGTAAGATAGTTAATTGACTGAGGAGACAACAAAGAGGAGGAGTGTTGCATAGATGAGATAAAGGGAATATGAATGATGAGCCACATCATTAGGGTTTGGTTTCTGGAGGTGGCTTTTTATGTGTGGCAGACTAAGGGTTGAAATTTAATCTTTAAAATGAACGACTCGGGTAAAATTGTTGCCAAGAAATAAAAAAGTCAAGATGAATAAGAGTTACTTTAGGATGTCATGGGCTTGAGATAAGGTTTAGCGAATAGGTCAAAACCCCAATATTAGATTGAGCTACGAGAACAAAACAAAGACACAATGGAAATATAAATACCAATGATGAACCAAGTCGAATTGAATTCAATTTGTCTAATACAAGAGTTTGTTAGTTCATCCATATAGATTTTCCGAATGAGACATACTCAGATTAAATATGTACACACTTAGGAAATTAACAACATAAGCAATAAAACAGTGATTTTTTTTTTTAGCCAAGTAGAAATGTAAAACATAAATTTTAGCCATGTTGTTGGAAAAACATCTTTTTTAGCCATTTTGGCACCTAAAAATACCAAAATACCCTTACTATCTATTTTTCTTAAAAAAAAAAATTAGAAATCGTCAATTTCTGGGGTCCAGAAATCGTTTCTGGGCTCCAGAAACGATTTCTGGGCTTCAGAAATGATCATTTCTGGACTCCAGAAATCCCAAAAATCCGAAAAACGATTTCTGGGTCCGGAAATTGATTTCTGGACCCCAGAAATCGTTTATGGTTCCAGAAATGCCAGAAATCCAATAAATGATTTCTGGTCGCAGAAATCGTTTATGGACCATTTCTGGATCTCAGAAATCGTTTATGGACCCCAGAAATCCCAAAAATTCGAAAAACGATTTCTTGGACCGGAAATCGATTTTCGGTCCCAGAAATTCAAGAAATGATTTATGGTCGCAGAAATCATTTCTGGACCCCAGAAATCGTTTCTGGTCCCACAAATGCCAGAAATCCCAGAAATGATTACTGGTCGCAGAAATCGTTTCTGGACCATTTCTGGAGCCCATAAATCGTTTATGGACCCCAGAAATCCCAAAAATCCGAAAAACGATTTCTGGGACCAGAAATCGATTTCCGTCCCAAAAATTCAAGAAATGATTTCTGGTCGCAGAAATCGTTTCTGGTCCCAGAAATCCCAGAAATGGTTTCTGGACCAAGAAACGATTTCTGGTCCCCAGAAATCTCAGAAATCCCAAAAACGATTTTTGAATCATTTTTTGAATCCCAAAAACAAATTTTGAATCATTTATGGACCCAAAAATCAATACAAGAAGTTGGTTCTGGTTCAAATTTTATTTGTTTTATTATGTAAGACATTGACGCATGTATAAGACATGTTCTTTTTTTACATTGTCATGTCAAAAATATGTCAATTGGAAAATATGTAAATTCAACAATCATACATGTATACTCGACCTCAGTCGCTCATCCCCTAGAGGTATATAATGAGTGACCAGGAGCGTGATAATGGTACACCAAGTCAAATACAATAAAGCACAAAAGTCTCATAATGTTGCGTATGACTTCGTTTACAAGGATCATAATACATCTTAGGAACTTTTGTCTGGATATTTTCATATGTTGATGAGAGGAAATCCTAGAAACACCACATGCTATGAGACAAATGACAATGTTGTGTTCATATACGCATTCGTTGCCTTACATGTTCACTAATTGTTGTCGCCCTATGATGGTGATTGATGTACCCACTTGAAAGGTCAATATAAAGGCATTATGTTTGTAGCAACAACAACAGATGACACTACAACAAATGTCATTATTTACATATGTACCATACATTAGTGCCATCTAAAGTCCCAACAATAGAATTTGCACAAATTTTGAATATTTATTGCAAGGAATTTCTAAAATCAACCATTTCTTAAAAAAAAATATCAATCAACAGTGTTCACATATCCATGTTTAAAGGTCAAATAGTGAAGTATACACCGAGTCCCTCTACAGGAAACCTCGTAACCTAGAGACTGAAGCACAAACTTCACTTGTAATGCACTTCCTAATGCATCCTGCGGTTTAGCAACCCCTAAAATGATATGTAGAGGTCTTTATTATCCATCCCGAAAATCTCTTCAGCTTTTTTCAAAGTCTCCTGAAAGTACCAAAGCTAATGAATAAGCAAGTCAAAAATCAAAAGCGTTACTTTTTTTTTTTTTTTTTTGAACACAATATTGAAGAAGGTGTGTTAAAAACCAAAATATTAATATCCACTTAACAATCTATCCCAAACAAACAGTACCACAAAGGTGTATTAAAGTTCAACCCTAAAAGCAATTCTTTTTATTCCATCATGTGCTATTAGTGTAAACTCATGTTAAAATTTGACATCAATTAAACTTACACAATGCCGACTTTAGTCCCTTATTTTGTTGTTTTATTCCTCTCCTTGTCGTCGAGCCTCAACTTCTTTCACTCATCTCCCATTGGTCGAGCTATTCTCCTTCAGTTTCAGCAAAACTAGAAAGAAATTTTAAAACATAGATCTTGAAAAAACTATGAGAATTGACTTGAAAATCTTGCAAAATTATAATCAATAACAAAGAACATAATATACTGGCTACACGAAATTAGTCATTCTTCTTCATTCAATAAATCTATAGATTCAAATATTTATAACTTAATTAAGAGTATGTTATAACTATTCAAACTTAATAGGCTATTCGGACCGGATAACAATGTCGAAACAGTGTCCTGTAATAAGGAGAAGAAAGAGAGATATAAAATGTCATCTTCAATAGTTTCCTTTTGCAATTATTTTGTAGGGCTTTCTGTGCCACGAGAAAACCGAACGAACAAAAACTAATTTTTGAATGGAAAGATAGCCATAGCTCACCATCTCTAGTGAGCTGATTCGGTGGAGAAAAAACCCATCTGCTTTATCCCTGAAAAAACAATTACACAGCAAGGCTTTATAGTACTACCAGAAAATTTGGACTTGGACAAAACAAGTGACACTACAAACTTTAGGGGCATGTGACAAATTACTCACTCTTTAAAAACAAAATTCTGATTTACGGCGGTAAAATAAGAACCTCTGTCCATTGAACTAACACCAAACCTCTGTCCTTGATCGGCGCAACTTTTCGTGCTAATATATGCATCCTAAGTGAACGAAAACCAGAAATCAAAAGTTGATTAAAAAAATAGCTCCCGTTAAAGCAACATGGTTAAAGAATAAAAGAAAAACTTACATCGGTTTTTGTATGCCAAGGAGATCCCCAACGAATAGCAGTACCACAAACATAATTGACCAGAACCGGAGGAACATCCCATCTCTCATAATTTGAGTCGTCTGGATAGCTCTACGTACATTGAGGATCGTCGGGATGAAGCACTTTCCATTGATCCGACAACAAGCGCTGAAAATAAGTATTAAGCATCAACATGAATCATTCAAGAAAATATAAATTAATTAAGCAATAAATATAATCAATGGAAAGAGCAATTACAAATAGAGAGCAATCTTGAATATTAATTCTTGAAGCAGATACTCCCGACTTCAATTTAACCCCACTGTATAGCCTCCGAGAAAGCACGTCCAAAAACGGATCGATATACTACAAAAATTATAAATTATATTAATTTTTCGAACAACTGCATTTGAGTACTGAGATTGAATTCTAAGAACAATTGCTTACTTCATTAGAAAGCATATTCCTGACACCCTCAATTGTTTTAAAATATTTTGGCCCCTGATACCAAGTAGGTGCTAGCCCAACGTTTAACCCAACAAAAAAATAAATAAAAGAGAAATATGGGTTCATGTTAAGAGAATGTTACTTACAAAATTCACATATATGCTATAAATTTTAAAAATATTACAATTGGCATGCTACTTACAAGAGCTATCCCACCTCCATTTCCAATTATTATCCTGTGATGTTCAACATAATTAAAGTTAATACAACTAAAAAGTAAATACATTATTCAAAATGAAATGTGTAATATTATTTGTTAACCAAACAAAGTAAACAAAAAAATGAAACACTAGTGAATTTTTTTAGCAATTAAAAATGAAAAAAAAAACTAATATCAGTTGTAGGAGAAGTCATTATGACGTCACTCTGTGATTGTGGAAGGAAAAATGAATAATCTGTACATGTTAATATCAGCCAATATCTCTTAATTTTCAACACCAAAATTTCAGTCAATATCTTTTAATTTTCTTTATTGGGCAAAGATAGTAATATAGTACATGAAATAAAATGAAGCAAATTATATGTCACTTATGTCAAATTATAAGCAAGAAACTTTACTGCTTAAGGTTCATACGCAAGAAATAAAAACAAACTCTAATAATAGTATACAAGAACCTTGTGTAAAGAGGCATTAATTTTCCAATCTTACCTTCATTTGATACTAGATAGTACTTTTAGACATCAAGTTATAGTTCGACATGCCCCAAACAGAAAAAAAACGTTTCCAGAGCAGAAATTTATCAATAGGGTTATGTTGTGTAAATAACAATGCACATTGCAGACGAAGGTTGTCAAATCTCTTTGAACAACAGCAAAACACCTTAAATTACTAAATACATGCTCTTAAAATAACAGAGAAGATGCATACAGAAACACAGAGAAGATGCATGCTTTCCAAATATACAGTTCAAATTCCAAATTACTAAGTTACCATTTTCAGCAGCAAAACATCTATGGATTCATTTGAATTGGTAAACAAAAAACAACACCAAAATGAAAAACAACACCATTTTCAGCAGCATAACATCTATGGATTCCAAAACCTGAGGACCATTTTCAGCAGGGAAATTTTTCTTCATTTTCTTCAATTGAGTTCCTTTTATTAGTCATCTCAATTCCCATCTCATGTTGGGAAGAACACAATATTAGGGAAAATCGATGAAGAAAGTGTACACAGTCAACATTTGTACATTTTTCACACACCCAAGAAGAAAACAAACCTTCAAAACTGCTAGCAAATCACAAGAGACGGCGAGGTAGTAAATCACAAGTCCACATAAACAAACCAAATTCAAAAAAGGCAAGAATAGGCAAAAAAAATCCTAATTAAAAAAAAAATCAAACTGAGGTCGTGAAGACGGCGTGACGTAGAGGTCGTGCAGATGGTGTGACGGTGAGGTCGCGTCGGTTAGAAGAGACGGTGTGACGGAGAGGTCGCCTGAGGTTGTGAGGTCCCCTGAGGTCGTGAGGTCGCCTGAGGTTGTGAGGTCACGTGAGGTCGTGAGGTCGCCTGAAGTCGTGAGATCGTGATGTCGCCTGAGGTCTCTTGAGGTGTTCGATTTCTCGTGAAGAGATGAATTCTTGAAGATGAAGTGCAGAGGAGCGGGGGTGCGGCGCAAGAAATTTTCGATTTGAAATAATTTGAGGAACAAAATTGTGTAAAGTGTAAACAAAGTAATATTGACCTAAGGGTAATGTAATAAAAACACATGCCAAAATGGCTAAAAAAGAGGTTTTTTACAAAAGGTGGCTAAAATTTGTGTTTTGTAAACTTTTATGGCTATTTAATGATATTAACACTAAGCAATATCCAGCCTAGTGTTAACCATACATCATGGAACTAATTGCATTTGAGTAACACCCATTTTTCATCAAGTCAATTTCAAAATCAGACTAGCGAATAACAAGGACATCCACTAATTTTGAGGACTGTATGTAAAATTTACTAAGAATTTTCTCCACATACAAAATTGGATTAAGAAAAATGACAATTTTATCTACCACAAATAATGTTCATTCCTGTGTAAATCGAAACACGATACTTTAAAAGAGAAACGGTAGAAATTTCTGTTCATTAGTCATCATCATCTTCTATTTATATTTTTTTATTTTTTAAAGTATGATAATTTCTGATAAAAATATGTATCTTTGTTAAAAGATTCACAATCTAAATAATTAAGACCGAACAAAATTAATATGTTCAAATTAATACCTAGGGCATGCATCCAACGTACTTGACGCCACTCAGTGAGGAAGTGATCACCGGACCACCACTAATTAAGTCAAAATAACACCAACATAACCTAAAACCAAATCCAAAACAAATAAATTTAATTAAAAAAAAAAATAAAATCGAAGCTAGCTATCAAAAAACATCAAGAATCTCCAATATGTAGTTATTGCATAAGGGACACTTGTTCCCCCGCTCCTCGACCCACATCTCCCGCGAACACAGCCTGCAGAATGAGTGCCCGCACGGCATAAACGCCGCCCCTCTATGCCTCACCATGCACACGCAGCAACAATTATACTCTCCTCCCCCATCCTCCTCTTCCTCGTCCTCTTCCTCATCCTCGTCCTCCATCATGTAAGCCAGCCCGTCCATCCCTATCTTCTCGTCCGTCTCCGCCAGCAATGACATCAGCGACATCCTAACTGGCGGGGCCCGCTCCCCCTCCTCCTCAACGTCATCATCCTCGTTCATGTTCTCCTCCCTTTGAAGCCTCCGCACGCTGGCCGCGGCCGACGTGTCGGGCGGCGGGTCCGTCTGGTCGTGGATCGGGCTTATTCGGGCCGAGGACGGGCCCAGCGAGGAGGCCCGGATGGGGATGTCGGATGCCGGGACGGGGACGGTGGATGTCCACGCGGAGCCTCGGCCACCGCTGTCGTCCCGGCGCTTGAGCTTCTCCTTGAAGTGGCGCCAGCTCCTGTGCCCGTCTTTTGCGGGGGGGTCGTCGCGGATTACGTCCAGCAGCGTGCGGCTCGAGTCTGCGCGGGAGAGGGATTTGGGGTCCCTTATACGGGCTCCGCGCAATTCCATGCATGCACAAAATTAGGTTTCGAAATTATTATAAATAAAAAAAAAAATGAGGAGGGATGTATGTATGTTGAGTTGCATACGTACCTTTTCTTTTCCTTATTTGTATTAGCTATATTATTTTTGTTTTATTTTTATTTTTTGTAATAGTTTTGATCCATTACTTCAAAATTGATAGACTAAATTCAAATTCATAAGAAAATCTATTATTCAACTTATGTGATTGGATCATTTTGTTTGTTCAAATTCATTCATGTATGTTTTGTCGGCTTAATATTCTTGGCTCACTATCAATTTCTTACAAATTATTGTTCACTGTATGGGGCTATTAACGCATCGTCTTACTCTTAGTGTCCATTTTTTATATTTTAGGTAATCTTAACCTTAAAACATCAACCAATTCGAAGTATGTGTGTTCATTCAATTTTCAAGCGGAATTTCTCCCACCTAGTATATCATCGGCCTTATTTCCCTTTTCCAATGAGACTTGAAATTAATTCTTCAATCCATTTACAAATCTTTGTTCAACTTTCCAGAACGATTCTATTGTTGGTAAATTTTTCCGTCGTATTGTCTGCGACTCTAGTCTTCCTCAACTGTATTGGACCAAAGATTGTCTTTCTCGACATTATTTCTCATGAAAATTCCATTCTCTTTACATCTCTTAGGACTGCTAGCATCTGCATCCTTTAACTTTGTTGTCCAACCTTCCATAGTCCCAAATTTGGACATATAGTTTCCTAATTCTTGTGTAAGGCAACCTTCATATAGCACTTAGACTAACTCGGCTAACCGACCTTAGTGGTTAATTTGGGTACGACTAGTTCAAAGGAGCTTTAACTCGGTATCAGCATTTGACCTCGTCATGGAGCTCACTTAAATAGTTTGGAGTATGGGTGGACCTGGTTAGAAGACTTAGGGGTTGAGCTTCTCCATGGGCTCAGACATATGAGGAGGAGTTACGACCGAGGTCGTATAAGTAAATGTCAGTCTTTCGACCTGGTAAGAGGCCATAACAGGTGGGTCACAAGGTTGCTAGGATGATCTAGAGACCCGAGAGTCGTATGGTAAGAAGGGACATAATCAGAGCCTAGTCCTGAACTTATAAGTTCCTGAGCAAGATGTGCTAAATGCTGTCTTTTGTTGTTTTCATTTATTTTTTGGTTAATAAAAAATAATATAACTCGCCATAATAAAAGCAATAAAATTTAAAATAAAAAAATAGCTAATTTCTTATAAATAATATTTGAAAATTTCTTATGAATCGCAAATGAAAAGAAAAGACAGTAAAATTTCAAATAAAAAAATAACTAATTTCTTATAAATAAAATTTGAGAAATTTCTTAACAAGCACAAATGAAAAGAAAGGAGAAACTTTTTTTTTTCATACAAAGAAAAAAATAAGCAGTCAGAGCTCTAAACTTTTCTTCTTAAATATTTAACTTAAGACTAGTGTATTAAATAATACTCAGTTATAATTATAGAGATATTTTTTTATTAAAAACTATTAGCTTTTATTTTGTATCGAACAAAATTAAATAACAAATATAAATTGAAACTCGTCTGAAAGTGAGTTTACTTCGCTTAACTCTTTTATTGACTATCACTAACATATTATTGAATTGTGGAATCATAAAGCTAGAAGAGAAAATTAACAAAGCACTAAAAGAATAAGAAAAAAATGTGCCGATAGAAAAAAAAAACAATTGTGCTGATCATAAAGCTTGAATTGTGCCTCTCACTTTGCTTTCGTATGTCATGTGACGGTCGGTGTAACATCAGTTTTGATCTATAAAAATTTAATTTATCGATAAAAAAAAATATATGCAAAAAATTATTAATTTTACTAATAATAACTACTATCTAGTTTTTTCATGAAATTTATAAAGTGGATAAAATATGAAAAACCTTGTGAAAGAATAAAAAATTTAAGATTTAAAATTTATAGTGTATTCAATATTCTATTATATAATTAATATGAATACTTATATTAAAAATATATATATAAAAGCGGGCCCTGGGGTAACATGGGGCCATAGGCGGTCGCCCTACCCCAAGGTCGGTCCTGCATAATTCTACCAAGAATGGCAACTGTATCTTACTAAAGAGTTTAAGATTTCAGAGACGTGTTAAGCAAGAAAAGAAGATATCACATGATTTCTTTCATAGTAAGGGCACTTGGGCAAAAAGATAGCCCGAGTATATAAGGGGTTACCAAGTTATATTCTTACATAACACATTATTACGCCTTTTCCATACAAGTTTTTAATATTCTCACAAGCGAAGTACTGACTTGAGCATTAGAGGTTTCTTGTTGAGACCTCTTCCCGATGTATTTGCAGGTCATCGGAGCTCGAGACAAAAGATTGTTTGTGGTCCAGTTTAAGCCAATTCATAGGAGAGTACGAAGAGTACACAAAAGTACTTGGTTGAGGTGCAATCTCTGTTGAAAGGGTTCATGACCTGGGAGTTGGTGCAGATACCAAAATGGGAAAGTAGTAGAGTTGATCTTTTGTCGAACGTCGCAACAACCTTAATGGACTGCAAGTCTTGGTCGATGATGTTAATTAGAAATTATGGAGGTCTAGGAACATGAGGATTGAAGGTCGCCATTAGTCAATTAATGGCTGTAGAATCCGATGTTGAGCAAGGACATCCGAGGTGATCCAACTGCAAGGAGAGCCCATGAGGTTTTTTTTTATCAAGATGGGATATTATACAAGCGGTCCTACGTATGGTTCTTCGTGTTCTCTTATTTTGACTATGGCGACATCTGTCAATATGCTCGCTTTCTGGCAGATTTCCATATCTGCATTTCTTCGTGTTCCTCCACTGGCGACCATCTCCAATATCTGTCCGACGTCGGACCTGCCGTCACTTCCTTTAATAATGCTTGAACATGCTGGACGTCACCCATGGTGGCGATAGACTCTCTAATCTGGCCAGCCCGATCGCCCTCCAGTGTCGCATTAACAAGGTCTATATCACAATCATGGCAACTTTTTGGCATGGTATTTCAAAACCGAGGGATAAAGAAAATCGAATTATCAAAGATTTTCATAACCATGCTACCTTGCTAGAAGTTCATCCCTATAATTGGTTTGTTGCTGAAGGAGAAATGAAATTGAGAAGAGTGATTTTTTTGAAGAGATAGAACACCCTACTTATAGGAACAATCTCAACCCTCAATGAATGCAACCAGCTGCATTATGGCACGAGACCCAACTATTGGCTAATCATATCGATTCACGTGAAAAGCCATGAGTCAACACCTTCAGATGTCGGCACGTGTCTATTCATTCATGAAAAGACGCACACATTGGCGGTTTTGTCCACAAACGTCTCTCTATCTCTCTCTTTCTCCTCTTTAAATGTTCAGTCAAAAAGGTCCCTCTATACCTTATCTTCTGCCAAATGACATGACTGTCCCACTATTTACCTTTTCTCAAAAGTGAAAGTCCCCTTTTGGCGATCTCGCACGTGGGTGTCACATGAGGACATAAGGATCAGTAGGTAGCTTCCCGGGCACATACGATCTGTCAATCTTCTATGAGATCTGAAAACCTGGGGGCCCTCTTGTTGTACGTTGATGTTCTAAGCTGGCCCACCACACCAAAAATCGTGTTGTTCATATTGGAAATGGGCGCATGTCAATTCAGGCCCAAACTCTTAAAAGGAACTCAAGAGCCCACATGTTCAGTCCTATGTCGATCTCTCTAGCCCCTGTGAATAGGAATTGAAAAAGCAATTGTTCTACCAGTCCATCATTAAAAGCTTAAATCTGGGTCCCATCATCAAAAGTCGAATTTCACATGGCTTTACGTGTCAATCATCAAAAGTTGAATTTCGCATGGCTTTACGTGTCACTCACCTGCACCCTTAGTTGGCAAGGAGCAATTATTACCTTTTTACATTATACATGTATAAATTCAACATTTAATGCACAAAAAAAGACACACACACACACACAAATATTATCACTCAAATATATTCAAACACCCACCTATTTCCCTCTCATTCGTCTAGAGTGCCGTACTTTATTGGCTATCTCTCTCATTGTTCATATTAAACCATTTTATATACTAAATTTCCACTTAAACGTACAGAATTAGGTTGGTAACTAAACTTAATCAACATCCCTAAAACCAAGATTTGATTAATTTGGTAATGTCGATATCTATTATTATATTAAAAGATTAACCATTTAACATTTTTAGCAAGTTTTTCCCGCCAAATACATTTAATGTCTCCTAAAAATAGAGCAGCATTAAATGTTGTTTTTTGCCGAAACGATAGAGACTTTATATAACAAACGCACAAATGTGCAAAGATACAACTTGGAACGCAACCCAAAGCTGAATAAAATGGGAGGACAGGTCTGACGACCGCCTAGAATCCCGATACTAGCAACGCTAGAAACCAAAAGAAGACACTCGAGACAACCACACAATAACTACACAGAAAATCTACAACTAAAACGCTCCCACAGGAGAATAGAGACAAGAGCTGCTCCCAACAGGAGAATAAATTTGCTCCCTCTCACACTGAGGCCAACGGCCCAAACCAAAAAAACAAAACAAACACTCAGGTAAAATACCAAGACCTAAAACACAACCTATCACAGACTCAAACGAACCAAATAAAACAAAGAGAAAAAAGAGCCCTTCCAATGATAAACAAATATTACTTTTTTATGATTGATTTAAATTTACGTCTGTTTAAAAGTAAAAAACTACTTTTGTAATTTCAACAAATTTGTACTCTTTAATGTACGGTTGATTTAAAATTAAGAATTTACTTTTGTATTTTCACAAAAAATTGTATAAATAAGTATGACTCGAATAATAATAAAAAATTAATTTGTTAAACCATATTTTGCATTCATAGATACGAATTCTCATCAAATTCAAGATTTAAAATTGTGAAGAATGTATATAGATGTGGACTGATTGAAGATATATGATTCCTTCAATTAAGGAATTTTTTTCGGTAAAAAAAAAATATAAACTTTAAATATAGATTTTATTAGTAGTGTATACCAAAGAATATTGTTACATTTAAAATTCATATGAAGAAGAATTCTATTAATTTCAAATTCAACATCTCATAAAAATAATATAATACATTTTTACATTCTATGAAACAATATTTAAAACCAACCGTTCAACATGCATAAAATGTAAAATTACCTAACATGAATCATTTTAACTTTCTAAAATCAGTACACAATTTGCTCGGTATGTACTAATAGTCTAATAGTTAAGAGTTAATATTTGCTATGACATCTATTGGTTGGAAAGAATTCCAATTTGTATGGAATTCGAAATAAAAAAACATATTCTGAAAATCAAATCTGATTTAGAGATCGATTTCGTAATGGCCTTAAATTATGAAAATATATTGTTTCAGTTTTTAGGATTCTTTTTTATGATCTCAGTCTTTGCTTTGTATGAAATCTATACTTATATAAAAAGCCATCCTATTTACTAGAAATAGTAGGTAGAAAAGTCAAAGGTAATTAATGCTTGCTGGAAATAGAATGATATTAATTACAAATTTGTTTTGGTATTTATAGGCTTGACATTAAAGATTTGTTATGGGATAAAAATCAGAACCGATTTTTTTACCTTTGCTGGAAAAGTCAAAGGTAAGTATAGATTTGTTTTATCCCATAACATCAGTTTTGTTAAGAAAATCCCATCAAATCAGTTTTATATGTCAAGCCTATGAATAAAGATTTAATGGGTCAAAATTAAATCCTTATTTTACGTCACCCATAAATAAAGTAGATGTCAAGCCTAAATTGAAGGGTTTAGTTGTCTATATAGCCATTGATTTAAGTAAACACATCTAATGTTTAAAGTTTGTGTAGATTGAAAATTCCTTCTTATCTTTTTACAAAAAATCTTATTATTATTGTATGGAAAATCAAACTCATAATGTTGTATACAAGGAGGTCTTTAATAATATATGATTGTTTGTTTGTCGAATACTATCTTATTGTACAATTTTCCTGCGTATTATAAAACTTTTATTGAATATTGCATCTTATAATATAGTATTCCTCAAATAAATATATCCCGTGTCTCGCACGGGTCACGTACTATATATATCCCATACATTTTTCTGTATTTATGCATATAATTATAAGTCTGGATAAATAGCTGTAAAATTGTGCACCCCGTGCATCGCACGGGCTCTGTACTAGTATCATTTGGACAGGTCTAAATTGACGACGTATTTAAGGCCTAGCCCAATTTCTAAAAGAAAAAACATAATAATGGCCCAACGCCAAAGTCAAAATCAGTCTGCGTATCCAGCCCAATTCATCACGCGAATTTTTTTTGTACAATCTCTTCTTTTAGAGAGAAAATTAAATTACCAGCCATTTTAGAGAGAGAAAGTTTCGGGAAACGAAGAAGCACGAAGGGGACAAGTCTGAAGCACATTGTGTACTAAAATCACGAGCAGAACAAGCAGTGACATATACGTACTTGTATTTGTATGTATCTATTAATCTCTGTGTTCATGCGATAGGGGTGTGGCAACTTTACGTACTCTGGGGAAATTTATGCTTTGAGTTGAGGTACCTTGTTCATCAGATGCAAAACCCTTGGAGCAAAACGAAAATTGGCGCCTCCCATCTTTTTAAGCAGAAGCTGTAATTGGCTTGTGATTAGTCACAATTGAGGTACTATTCTGGCATTCCCGGATAAAGAAACCTAGAATTTGAAGCTCTGCTCAAGTTTGCTGTAACCCTAGAGGTTTTCTGCACCTCTTTTTGTCTGCTTGAGGTTTAATATCGGGAATATGGATGATAATTTGTTTGCTCGCTGTTTCTTTTCTTGCATTTTGATTGAATTATCAGGGGAGGTATGTTGTCCAGTTGCTCTTGTAGGGTTCTCATCTCTTCTTGGTTTGCATGCTGTATTAGCTGAGCTCTACCTTTTTGAGTTTGCGGCATTCTTCTGTAGCTATTAGTTGATCAGTTAGGCTAATCTAAACATGTGAACATAGGTTAAAAAGCTTTATGTTCTACATTTTCGCATTCCAAATGATAGTTCTGGGCCTATTCTTTTTTTTTGAAAGATAGTAATACAGTCTCGAAGAAAATAAAATTTTCCTTTTATATTTATGATTTATTTAGAAAAAAATTGATTAAGAGTACAAGCTAATAATTATAATTTAAAGTAATCCACACTCAAAATCCTTTTGTGAAAACTGTTAATTTACAAAAAGGAGAGAGATTTGTCCTTTCTAAAAATATTTACCACAAACATTATATAGTAACAAAATATAGCATGAAGAAAGAATAACAGTGAATTTGATAAATACAGATTGATAACAAAAAGAAGAAAAAAAATGAGAAGCCTTTTTGGAGCCACTAAAGGTAAGAGTTTTTTTAATTTCTTCAATCCAATTTAGGTATCATGGTCCAATAAGGTCCATTCACTGAGTAGCTAAGATACCAATGCTAATACTTGTGCATGCAACTTATTGTAACCTGCTGATTATGTTTGTTTTGTGTCTGCTCTTCTTTAGAATTGCTTAGCATTCTGGCTTTGCCTATATTTTATGAAGCTTTAATGAGCATGTTGTTTGACTATATGTTTTGAGTTTTCCCATATTGGCGAATATCTTTTATCCATGATGTTTCTCTTAGTTGATGGTTTTATCATTGTTTTTCATTTGTTATACGTTTTTCACTGAAATTTCTTGTCACCTTCACTGTCATCTTTTTGTTCTATCTTGCAATTCAAAACCTTGACCTATAGGTTTAGGCAATGCAGTGTGGAGATGTTATGTACTGTTGATCTAGTCTCTTAGGATAGCGACCCTATTTTAATGAGCGATTTAGTTTCTGTGACTTAAAATGTTTTTCTGTCATTTCCCAGATTTATTGCATTATTATATTCAAGATTCTTGGGCGTGAACTCTCTCTGTTCAGGCTGGTAGCATTAGTAACATTATATTACTATTGATGAGGTTTCTTACAGTTACTCTGGTCCCTCCACATCAAAAAGAAAAAATAGAAAATTCCTTTCCGTACATCATGTTCTTGCTATTTAATATGTTGTTTAAATCTTTTTCTCCTTTGAGCCGTTTTGTTTATGTTCTTTCGGACTTAGGTGTTTGCTTTTGGTTTTGTGTTGATGGAGGAAATCATCAGTAGCTGTTGAACTGCGAAGTTTATGGATGCAGTCCAACATCTGTTTTCTTAGTCAATTCCGAAATTGTTTCTATGGGAGGAGCTGTTGAAGACGGAATTGGTATTAATGGCAAAACTTCTCCTAGACAAGCAGAAATTGAGAAGAGTCAAGCAGAGCTCAGGTAGTGGTTCTGTAAATCTCTGATTACTTGCTCGTGTTTGTTCTGAAGTTTTTTTTGTCATTGCCATGAACAATTTCTTGTGATAACAGGCAAGAGTGTGAGATTCGGGACAAAACGAAAAAAGAGTTGGAATTTCTTTTGGAAGTATGGAGCTCTGACATTTTTTGGTTCTAGTCAACGTATTGAACATTTGCATTTGCAGTTCCTCATTCTTTTCTTCTTTTTTCCTTTTTTTTTTTGACAGGGTGGCAATCCTTTAGAACTTGAGAGTGGGAATGCTGCTTCAGTTAGTGTACAATCTACTTCGTTTGCTGAACAACATGCTGATCAACTTGTGACCAGGTATTATTGTATAGTTGAAATTATGATTATTAGTTTATCTAAATGCCCTCAGGTTCTATGATCTTATGTTTAATATTTGCTTAATTTTTTTGGCACTACAGTGAAGCAAAAGGTAGTTTTGCATTTTCCGCATCGCCTCATGGAGACTCTGTGGAAAGTAGTGGTAGACTTGGGACAAATCCTTGTGAACCAAATAGTGCGGACAATCTTTTGTTATTTGATGCTGAATGTGAGTTATCTGAGGGCAATAGGATGCCATCACATCCTAGTAGGAGTAACATAGTGTCATCAGAAAAGTTATCCCATACTGGTAGCATGAGTAGAATTGGGGAACATGGGGATTCAACTGTTTTTGACCGCCCCAGAAAAGCATATAAGAGGCGGTACAGGTCCCAACCAAATCGTGATGGAACTAGGTCAAGTTCAACTGATGTAAATCCAACACATGGCATTCATAGGTCTTCTATACCCTCTCGTCATGAACCCAAGGATGCTAAAGGGTTGATGTCTGATTTAGAAAACCCAATTATATCATCGAATTCTAATTCAAAGCCTGCTAGTCCAGTAGATAATACCCTTCACAAGACTGGATTTGCGGGTAGCCAGCAGGATATCGAGTTAGATGGCACAAAGGCTGTAGAACCAACTAAAGATCTAACAGAAGGTCATTCATTGAATTCAGCATTAGATGCTACTGCTTGTGAAATACCATTCCATATTCAACATAGCCAGCAATCTCCCTCAGTTCTGGGAACTCCCATTCAGTTGGATTCGGATGGACCCCAGACCATTGCGGCATTTGAGCAGGTGAGTTTTGCAGATATTGAGTGTCAGCCAGGTGTGACTGCTATTAAAATTGAGAACAAATCCAATTCCCATATGATGAATGGTTTCAGCAGCAAAAAGGGTGAGAGCACGAGACATGATGCTCATAACGGTGCCTCATGCGGCATGAAGGGATTGGATTCTGAGTCCTCCTGCACTGAACCCAGCCAAAGTATTAATGGAACTAATGATGCTGATACTAAAATGAGAAGTACTGACTCAAATGGGCAGATTAAAGATCAAATCTCAGTACCAGATAAGGTTCCAGTTCTTGGAGGTGATGAGTCAGTGAAAGAAAAGAAAGAAAGTGGTGCCAACAGTTCTGCTCTTGTCACTGTGGAGAGCTCTGTTACCTATCGAACTGAGCTAGAGGATGGAGTAAAACTCCATCCAGAGAAAGAATTGAATGTGAATGGATCTTCTTTTGAAAACAAGGTGAAAGACCAAACTGATTATGGAGAAATAGGAGCTAGCAAACTCATTGAATCTGACTCAGGAAGGAAATTCGCTGACCTGTCCGGTGATCAAGCTGGTGTGAGTAATGAAAGTCCTTGCTCTCTTAGGCACCAGGATTCTATTGATATGTCAGTTCCAGATATTCCTGGGGGTGGATCGTCGATTGCGGTTTCTACTGCTCCCATGGAGGCTCACACATCTCCAGGGTCTGATTCGAAATTGATAAGAACAGTTGATGAAGACTCAATCTTGAAAGAAGCAAAAATCATAGAGGTTAAATTGTCATTTTGAAATATGAATTCTTTAATATGGTTCCATGTCGATGTTTGGACCCAAGTATCTGATATGTTGTAGTGATTAGGCCAAGCGAAAGAGGATAGCTGAATTGTCTGTTGCGAACTCCCCAAAGAAAATTCGCCTTAAATCTCATTGGGATTATTTGCTTGAAGAAATGGCATGGTTGGCAAATGATTTCGCACAGGTTTGACTTTACCAATGTTCGGAACATTTTGTTTTTATTTCATATATTTTCACCATTTCTTGTGGAGTATGTTGATCTGCACAGTTTATATGGAATAGAAATAATTCCTTTCTAGGATGCTATTAAGTTTCCAGTCTCTCTTTTGAGAGCTTCCTTGTTGTGTAGGAGCGTATTTGGAAAATAGCTGCTGCAGCTCAATTGAGTTCTAAGGCTGCTTTTACTTGTCGTGCGACAAAACAAGAGAGTCGCTTTCACTTGGAGGCAAAGAAAATTGCTCATTCATTGGCAAAATCTGTCATGGAGTTCTGGCAATTAATTGAGGTAAGAATTTCCGATGGATGCAGATGCTTCACATCTTTTTGCCTCTTATTCCATCACTGCTGCTTGTTGTATGTGAACTCCTTTTCTTCTTGACAGCTAATTGCTGATTTGCAGTTTTATTATTGAATTTATGATAGCATTTACATGCATAAACATACATTTATTTTTTGAGGTGATACTTGCAGTGTTTTAAATGGCTCCTCCCTGGCGAGAGATGGCAGGGGCTGATGTAAAATTACATTGCGGCGCCTCTCTCGCCAAAAGCAACGCAGAGGCGCGCCTCACCCTTCACCCAGTTGCCCTTTAATTTTTTTAAATATGTTCTTGGATCTAAAATTGGGCTCCTCTTCTTGCCTCTATACTAGGGTTTCTTAGATTAGGGCAAAATACCTTGATAAGCTACTTGTATCTAAAAATTGGAGGGCCCATCAGCCGGCCCATTATATTTTCGACCTGACCGGTGGCAGCCACCTTTCCGCTGCCAGGACTGCCACTGCCCCGTGTTACGTTCTTTTTTGGTTTCCTTTTTTCCTTTTCTAGCTTTACTTTATGTGACAGCCTGTAATGATCAACAGGTCAAGGCAGAATTAGGTCCATATTGTCTATGTGCTGCTTTTAGGGGAAAAAAAATGTCTTTTACTTTTCTGTTTCACTTGATTCACACAACATAAACTTAATGTTGTTTTTTATTGGGAAGTAGTAATCACATTTAGATTTTAGGTGTTGAAATTTGAGCTGCTTTTCATTTTATTTTCCTTTAATTAAATTTATTTTCTGTTTCTAAATGATATTATTTTTATCGGCTCTAAATGCTGTTTGTTATATTCCATTTTTCTTGGGTTATGCATTTGTGACTTGTGTTCTTGTCTTGTTGGGAGATATTTGAGGTTGATTTAGCCATTTGAACTTAAATATGTAACATCACCATCTATATTATTGCTTTATCACGGTTTGGTGTCTATGTTAGTATGTTACCGAGGCCTTGTCTCTTACCTTGCTGCCGGGCAATGAGAAAATCGCGTTGCGTTGCCTTTGAAAGCTATGGATATTTGTAATATACTTCCGAAGTTTTAACTCATTTGAAGAGTTGTGGAAAATCAGTAATGTTAATGAAATGTACAGGGATATAAAATTTGTGTTCTGGACTAAGTCTAGACTGTAGATTTGAACTTTAAATATTCATGGAATAAGGTGAAGTTCTACTTTCGAGCTGTAAGCAACAGATTCTAGGTGTTCATAATTTTGTAAGCGACAGATACTAGGTGTTCATACTTTCTGTCGCCTCTGTCTACAGTCTCCCAAATGAATGACTAGAATAACTTTGGTACCTCTTTGCCCATAACTGGATATGCAATGTGTGTGTGTGTGTGTGTGTGTGTGTGTGTGGGTGTGAAGGAAATCCCAACAATGAATATTTTGAAAGCATTATTTTTTTGTGGTAACATGTGATGATTTTGAATTTGTAGCTCCTGCATTCAGGGAGAGGTCAACTGGTAGGTCAACTTTTTGCCTATTTTTCTCCTCTTGAATTGTGGGTGTTATCTTTGTCTTTCGGCTGGTTTGACTTCAAACAAGTTGTCGAGGCAGTTATTGATCTTTATGTCTTTGGTAGATAGAAAGATTTGTGGGAATTGGTGTCAAGATTGTTGGTATTTGTGGTATGTCAGGAGAAAAGCAAAGTACTGGACCAGCAGGGCCAAGGAGAGGACGGACATTCTGTTCAGGCTTACGCAATGAGATTACTTAAATATAAAAATTGCTGTATCGTCTATAATCCACCTAAGGTGCCGCTGACACCAGATGCAGTACTTGATGTGGGAATCCTTGACCTGTCATGGAAGGAAAACTTGATGGAAGTATGAATCCTAATGTTCATTTACTTTGTTTTACATAATCCTCTTTTTTCTCTCTCCATTTTTTCTATTTGTGCCCGTTGTCCCAACTTTGCTGTGTGCCATTACACAGCCCTAAAGTCTACCTTTTTGTTGTCCTTGATGACTGGTTTGATCTTGCTTCATGTGTCCATGCAATGTGATTATTATGATGGCGTCTACTGTCTCTGAGTGAAGCGGTGTGAGGTTCTTTCCTTGAAGCTATGCTCATACTTCGTTTACTTATCTATTATATCTTCTTGTGATTCAGGAGAGTCTCTTCTACACAGTCCTTCCGGGAACCATGGAGACCTACAGAAGTTCAGTTGAATCACATGTAGCCAAGTTTCAGGTAAATGCTTTATTCAGCTAATGTATGTGTTATACCTTGTAAGATTACTATATGTTAAATACTTAAAATGTTAAATATGTTCACCGATCAACAAGTCCTGAAGCTAATAAAAAAATTGTTCTGCTGTGAAGTGAATAAGTCAAACCATAATGTAGGCGTTTAAAGTATTGTTCATTCGCATCAATACTTTATTGGCTCTCTGAAATTATTTATGCATGCGTTTAGAAACTAGAGGGTGGCATGATAGAGGAAGTGGAAACCTCCACATGCGATGCCGCTGAAGGTAAAATTGGTACGGTTGCTGCATGAATCATCTTCTATTTGATATTTCTGTTAATACAGTGTTCCCTTTGACCGAAAGCATTGATTCTTATGATTATGCAGATGAGAATGAGAGAACAGATACATATGACATGTCAATGGCCTTTGATGATAGCAAGAATTATGGATTCGGGCAAAAGAAGCAGAAAGACATGATACATGCATATGGTTCCAGACCATATGAAGTAAGCTCTGATGTATCACACATGCAAGGTGCTGAAAACAAAGTTGTGCATCAATCTTCTTTACTGGGAAAACGGCCAGTTGGCAACCTCAATGCATCAATACCTACAAAACGTGTTCGAACTGCTTCTAGGAGAGTTGTTAGCCCTTTTAGTGCAGGAACATCTGGATTCCCTCCGGCAAATAAAACAGATGCTTCTAGCAGTGATACCAATTCATATCAGGATGATCAGAATATACTGCAAGGGGGTTCGCATACTCCATATAATGTGGAAGTTGAATCAGCTGAGAAGTTTGAGAAGAAATTAGCAATTGGATCTGCTGAAGTAATGATGAAGCATAAAAAGAAGAAAGCAAAGCATTTGGTATGCAATAATGTAAAGTTCTAGTAGATTTGCAGTAATTTTGTTTACTGGAATTTTTATTTGATTCCTTCTTCCCTTTTATGTGTGCTAGAATGCTGCATACGAGGCGAGATGGCAGGTTGATTCTACATTTCAAAATGAGGAGGTGAATCTCGTCATATCATTTAATGTTACCTCTTTTATCTTCTCCTTTTTGCACAGAAGACAGAAGTATGAAACAAAGTGTAGCAAGTGTTACATATGCCTTTCGTGTGGGATATTTATCTGTTAATTTTATGAAACATCTTCTATCATTTTCTCTTTTCTGTACATGGTATGTTAAAGTGCATTGAAGTGCATCTTAGTACTTAACAGCTGGGAGGAATTTCCTTAGATTATATCCGTCGGATTTACTATCCATTTATATTCACCAGAGAAACAAAATAGCAATTGTTATGTTGTCGTACATTCCTCTTTCTACCAGGGATGATACTTTTTTAGTCTAAAAATTATTTTGCAAATTTGAGGTAAATGTTGCATCATACTAATCGCTTTTTTTGCAGTTTCAGAGAGATCACTTGAGGAAGAGTCATCAAAATGAAAATAATTGCAGCAGTGGTAACATTTGTCGCTTTCAAGTTAATGGTGGTGTTTTGGATTGATTACGTTTTATATCATGTTTGATGTGTTATATATAACTTATGATTTGTGAAGGTTTATTGGGTCAACCCATGGCAAAGAAGCAGAAAACTATGCGGCAGTCACAGGATTACTCTTTAGAAACTATTACACCAATTGGTGGGTCTGTTCCTTCTCCAGTGGCTTCCCAAATGAGTAACATGTCCCATTCAAATAAGTTCATTAAAATGCTTGGTGGACGGGATCGGGGTAGGAAACAGAAGCTTCTGAAGGTATATTTTCCATTATTTGCTGTCGTCTTTCACCACCACAGGCTATATGTAAATCGTTTGATGCAAACCCAAGGCTAAGCAATTTCATTTCTTCAGATGTCTGCTGGACAGCCAGGTTCAGGAAGTCCATGGACACTCTTCGAAGACCAGGTTGATTTACTAAATTGCATGTGTATGAACATGGTGGAATAATGAGGCGTGTTGCTAATTAATTTTATAAAAATCCTTTTAGGCTCTTGTTGTCCTTGCTCATGACTTGGGCCCGAATTGGGAGCTCGTCAGTGATGCTATGAACAGTACTCTTCAGTTCAAGGTAAGGGCCGTTATCCTTCTTGATGAAGGTTTCTATATTCAACCTTTATTTTGGATGATAGATTTTATCATGTAAATCATATTGTTTGTTTCATGTGAGCAGTGCATATTTCGGAAATCTAAGGAGTGCAAAGAGAGACACAATTTTTTGATGGATAGAACTTCTGGTGATGGAGCAGACAGTGCCGAAGATTCTCGATCTTCTCAACCTTATCCTTCTACTTTACCTGGCATTCCCAAGGTGAAATGATTTCTATTGCATCTTGTTTAGCTGCTTGCGTCCTACAGCTATGAGTGAAAGCTCGTCTGCCATACGGATTTTACGAATTGCTTCAATCTCACAATATGTATATAGATAATATATTATAATATGCCTATTTATCCACCTTAATTATCAAATCTAATAGGTGCTACTACTGATGTCTTTTCTACTTCATATAGGGAAGTGCAAGACAGTTATTTCAACGTCTACAGGAGCCAATAGAAGAAGATACCCTCAAATCTCACTTTGAGAAGATCATCATTATTGGTCAGAAACAACATTACCGCAAAACGCAGGTATCAGTTTTGAATTTAGTGTGATGTTGACATCTGTAATTGTGTCTGACAAGGCTTGCCATTAGCTGATCTCTGTTCCCTTAAAGTATGTTGTATTAACTTGATTATGATATACATTTATTGACATGATTTTGTTTAAGAATGATAACCAGGAACCAAAGCAACTCCAGCAACCTCACAGTTCTCACACTGTAGCTCTTTCACAAGTTTGTCCGAATAACTTGAATGGAGGACCCGTTTTAGGGTAAGCTACACAGTTGATTAAATGACGTGATTGAATATGGAATAATTGTGGTCGGAATTGGATGCATCTATTTTTAACTGACTACCGAGGCTTTTNTTTCTGTCAACTTTTCGTTCTCCAAAATTTCCCAACACTTGCTCATCTGAAGCCCTCTGGACCTATGTGACTTCATTGCTGAGAATGATATGCTTCCCCTCGGGCATCAAGGGCCACATTCTGGTGGATTAGCCATTCCAAATCAGGAAACTGTGACTCCAATGAATCCTGCATCAGGTTTCACTTCCTCATTGCAAGGGTACCCATCTTTGATAGTAGGCAGTAACTTTCCATCATCTCCATCGTCTCTCAATTCCTCACTCAGGTAATGTATGGCCTGTTAATGGCCTCATCAATCCTGAATGTGTCATTTTTTCTATTAGGCAAATTATTCTGAACCTCACTGCCTTTAATAGAGATGCTAGGCACGGGCCTCCCAGACCTGCGCTATTGCCGGCTGATGAGCAGCAGAGGATGCAACAATATAATCAGATGTCTGGCAGGAGTTTGCCTCAACCCAATGCTTCTTCTCCTGGAGCTCTTGCAGGGACAGAACGTGGTGTTCGTGTGCTTCCTGGCGGCAGTGGCATGGGTTTAGTGAGTGGCGCTAACCGAGGTATGTCGATTACTAGACCTGGTTTCCAAGGAATTACATCACCACCTGTTGTCAATTCTGGAAGTGTGGTCTCCCCTGGTATGCCACCACCGAATATGCATTCTGGAGTGGGCTCTGGTCAGGGAAGTTCAATCTTGAGGCCTCGTGAAGCTTTGCACATGATGCGAGTACGTTAAATGTCAATTATCTACTTTCTAGTGTTATGCTTGTTGTCGTGAAGTTCTTGGAAATGCTTTTGGTGAAATAAGTATGCTTGTGTTTTTCCAGCCTTTTTTTTTAGTTTGTTGTACTCTTCTTTCCTTGTAGCTTAATTTTTCTTTTAGGGCATGTTTTGCTAGTTGATGTTTTTTTTAGGATGGCATGTCACCATTGTTGGTGCTTCATTGCTTTTCAAATCCTTTCTTGATTAAATGCCACAAAGTTTGTTGTCCACCGGTGTTTTTGCCCTGCCTTCTTTGAATGGAAACCATGTTATTTCCCATACTGAGCTAATTTTCTGATACGCATCTATCTATCTGACTGTAATAGATAAACAATGTATTTATGTATAGGGAATTAATCTAGTGGGAACCGTTAAAATGAATATGTAGGGATTAATCACAACTATCCATCGAGCTTGATCCGGTGGATATAAATTGGTTAGAGAAACTATATAACGTCATTGTTTTGAATATGCACTTTAAATATGTCAATGCGTCGATCTAAATGAGAAGTAATATAGTAAATTTCAATCTAATTGCTTATTTTTTTGTTCTCTCTCTTCTACTAGATTAACACTTCTATTAAAATTACTCTATTTGTTAAAATATGCAAATGATTCCAAAATGAATTACAGTATATTATTCCTCACATTCTAAGTAGTAAAGATTCATAACATTCTTCTTATGTAAAATTTTATATTTAAGGGTTCAAATTAATATCATGTCGAAAACCTCATTTGCAAATTGAAAATGTATTGCACATTTTAGATATTAATTTATGCACATTTAGAAAGATATTAGTGCACACTTAGGCCAATAATTATATATTATAAGTTCGGCATCCAGGTGCATATATGTATTAGTCAGCAAACCACGAATAATTTTATTGCCCATGTAAAAGTCCATTGGTGCATAGTTATATGTTCTTTGATTCCATATAGGATATATACATATACATACATACATTAGCTCTAAATTTATTTGATCGACTAGGATTTGATTAACATTCCCATTTTAAGATTGGTTCCCAATTGACTCAAATCCTATATATCTAATGAAAACATTAATAATAATGACGATGATGATGATACTATTGCATCTGTGTTTTTAGTAGCATAATAAATATAATCTGATTTTGCAGCCTGGTTTGGGTCAGGATTCACAGAGGCCAATGATGCAGGCTGACCTTCAAATGCAGTCCCCACCAGGAAACAGCCAAATGTCCCACCACATTAGTGGGTTGAGTTCTCCACTGGTGCCATCATACCCTCTTCACCATCCAACATCTCCCCAGCCTCCTCAGGCACTTAGTCCACGTCACCATTTGCCTGGGCCCACCACAAACCAACAACAAGCCTACGCAATGCGCCTGGCTAAAGAGAGGCAGCAGCAAAACCGTTTTCTACAGCAACCCCAAATCAGTGTCTCAAATTCACATAATATCCACCCAACACCTCAACTCCCCTTGCAGAACAATCCGCAATTATCACTTTCCCCTACGAATTCAATGAATCAGCAAGCACCCGCTCAGGGTAATGCGCCAGCTGGCAGCACCCATCAGATCCCCAAACAACGGCAGAGGCAGAAACAGAATCAATCGTCACAAGCCAATAATAGGCCACATCCTCAGCAGAAGCAACAAACTCAATCTCAACAGCTGGCTAATAATAATAATAATAAGGTGGCCAAGGGAGTTGGAAGAGGGAACTCTTTGCTGCAACCAAATGTCCCGATCGACCGTGCCTCCATGAACGGGATTTCTACCACTCCAGGAAAATTTGTTCCTCCACAAAAAAACCATCCAGGCCAAGGTGCACCGTCGGCCAAGAATTTACATCAAGTGGCCTCTCTTACAGATAAGAACAGCTTAGGTCAAGTCCAGGTGACTAATAATCAGTTGCCTGTTCAAAGAGTGGTCCAACAGCCGAATAGACCACAAGCAAAAGATCCCAGTAGTGATAAGCATCTGACGAGCAGCTCGACTGAATTGGACCAAATGATTACATTACCCCCTTCCACAAGCAGTGCAAGTGCTCATCAGTGGCAGGCTTCAGAACCGTTATTGGATTCGGGGACAAATACGAGTTCAGTGCCTTTGAAAGCTAGTGGGTCTGCTACTCAGAACTCACAGTAGTGACAGCTGTCGCCACAACATTTGCAGCTGAGGGGAGAAAGCTCTTTGATTTGCTGAACCAGAATTTGTGTGGTGGGCCCTGGTGACTGTGTAGATTGGAATGAGGCCTGGAAAAAAGGGATGGTGCGACTGTGACTGTGTTGCTGGTCAGCGTCTGGTTCGGCATATGCTTGGGATGTCGGTACACAGGTTAGTATCATATCTTATAAAAGTATTTGTATGCTTGCCCTTGCAATTGAAGTTCATGGAGTAGTGGTCACTTTGTTGCCTTCTTTTGCGTGCTTAAGTAAATTTCATATGTGAAATGGAAATATGTTAAATTGAAATCTTTGCGTTGGCCGTTGGTTATTGACGCAGAGGAATACGTACGATGGGAGCAATATGAATTCTCTGATGGAACTCAAGAGATAAATTTTATTCAATCGTAAAAACCAAGTCTACAATGAGAACTCTTGTTCCTTTAATAGACTCCCCAAACCCTAACTTATTTTAAACAATAAATATTTAAACATAGGAAATAAATAAAAAGGCTAAAAATACTAAATAAATAAATAACTAGATACGAAGGCGGTCGAACTTGTCCAAGTACGCCAATGCGATCTCGTCGCCATCAGTTATTGTTTGGATTATGACGATTTGTTTAAAGACTCTGATCTATTGCAATTTATAATTTTCATTTTTTTCCCTCTCATATTCAATATCTTTTGTGTATTTAATCTTAAGCTCTGTTGAATTTCAAAATCTGCTTGAATTCTTTAAGTAGGACGAAGTTGATTCATATACTGCGAGTGTTCACACTAGGGGCGGTACCGTAATTACTTGGTTTGTTGCGTTCACACTTAAAGAGTTGGTTAATTACGGTACCGCCCCTAGTGTGAACACTCGTAGTACCGTAATTAACCAACTCTTTAAGTGTGAACGCAACAATTCAAGCAGGACGAGGTTGAAGTTATACTGCGAGTGTTCACACTAGGGACTTGCATTCTTTTCAGTGAATATTGTGGGCCTGATTCGTGGTATGGCCAAGTTTACAGTTATCTTGCAAATCATGACGACCACACTGGGCAGTTTGAATTTGGAGAATATTATACACTAAAAAACGAGCTGAGGCTTCCGAGAAGATAGAGACAGAGTAGAGGTAGATGTGTACAGTGTCCTGTCTCTCCTTTTGTAGCCTTTATTTTGTTCCATTATGCCCATTTGTTTTTCTGCTCGGTCGAGGGGCATATTGTTTTGCGCTTGCATAGATCAGTCATTGTATTTTGCATCCTGTATGTTGGAGAGGGTTAGTTATGAATTTTTTTAGTGAATATATTAGTGTCGTTATCTTTAGTTCTGCCTGTTGAAATATTGATTGTCCACGCATCCTTAACTTCCTCGGCTAACTGTAAATTCTTCAAACAGCTAAATGAAAAGGTCTTGTTGTTGCCTTTTATGATCGGTTGATCACAATTTGCCCTTTTTCATGTCTTTTTATTGCTGAATTTTGTTAATTGTGCATTTGGTCTTTTTGGTTCTAATAATAATTCAGATTTTAAATTATTGGGCTATACATATTGACTACTAAAGGAGCTGAATATGCCTTATTTCTAAAAGCCCATAAAATATCATATCATATAACATATAAAGGCCCGATTTATCTCAATTTTTTTTTTTCATAAAATAACAATTTCGGGAACGCATGACGTGTTAATTAATTAAAGTAATAATATTGAGGATAATTTTAAATAGATAAAGTTGAGTTGAATTTTGATTTAAAGAGCCGCCGCAGTCCTCTGCCGTCAGCATCCCCCAAACACACACAAACTCTGATTACAGTTGCAGCCTCCATGAGCTGCTGTCATGGTTACCACCGACAACCACCACGTTGGCATAGATTGACCATCCTTGGAGCGCTCCGGCCGTATTCTTCTACGCCGCGCAGAGTAGCGATCCTCGGCGACGATCGGAGGTGCAACAGATGTTTGTGGCAACTAGCAAGGTCAAGCTGATGTTTTCTACGGGACCATATCATCTGGTGGTGGGGTGGATGGCGGCGGGGGGAGGGCAACGGGCGAAGAGCTGCAAATGTTGTGTGGAATGTCTGTATAGTGACGAGATTATGATGTTTTGGTGGGGGATGAATATTTAAAATTAGACAAGTCCAAGGGACTATGATGCAATTTTAAAATTTTTAATTTATTGCATTTTAATATGTGAGGCATTATTATGATTATTTAAAAGTTTAATAAGTGTACATTAATGATATAAAAATCATGTAATTTAATGAAATCATAGGTTTGCCACTGCTTATCGTTCGGTCGGTTAGCTTATTTCGGTCATTTTGAATAATAATATCGACTTATAACTGAAATTTTTTCAAAATTTTTAAAGCAAAAAACTGAAATATTAAAATTGAAATGTTACAACTAAAATAATCGAGTCGGACTTTATGGTTAGTTACTTTAGGAAAAACTAATCCGACTGACTGTTGTCCCTACCAAATTAAAATCAAATCGAAATACTTTGTTTATTTGGCCGGTTAACTGAGTTAATCAAAATAACCGAAGTAAGTTATAACTAATATTATAAAAATGTAATTTAAATTTTATTATTTTTGTTTGATATTTAAACTAGAGTAATACTCGTGTACTACATAAGAACTTAAATATATTAATATTTGTACAATAAATATTAAATAATTTACATTTTCATTGTGAAATTATGTATGATGAAATGCAACAATAATAAATAACTAACAAAGTGATAATTAATTCAAATGGTGCCGTACTTTTAGACTAAATTTTTCAATAAATATATATATAATTATATTTTAAAATTATATATGTATAAAACTGATATTATTTACAACTTCATATAATTGATTCTTTTTTTAAAACAAAACAAACTTTATTGTGTTGTGATTTTCATATTTATAGAGTCAGTGTCTCACGTTTATTAATTTTTTAAGATTTTAAATTAATATAATTAATAATTTAGAATTTACGTAGAAATGTATTATTTCTAACTTTATGAAATACAAAATCTCTTAACTTGTCTAATAAGACAAGTTAAGATAATTAATGATACTCTTAACTTGTCTAATAGGACAATGTCTCTTACTAAATATTCTAATACCAATAATATGACTAATAAATATTCTCTTACCAATTAAATACTAAACGTGAAAGGAATAATAATAAAAGACCAATAATACAAGGAAATAAATATATATCATAAATTAATGATGCTAGACGATGTCTCGTCTACATCACAAATTATGAGTAGAATATTCGAGAAAACCACCAACCCACTAACCAGGTTCTAACTCGACTTATATGCATGTATACAATTATATTAATCAATATACAAGAAAATATTAATATACAATATAACAAAAATTATTAAAATTTAATTAAACTTATAAAGATTTAATCAATATACATATATTATTCATTAAATTATAAAATCTTATAAATTGTATAAGAATATTATAAAAGAAAAAAATAATTTCAGAAAAAATCTATTATTGAAATTACTAAGTGTCACTACAAGAATATGATGAAATTCCAACGGAAATATATTTTAATGGAATTCCAACGGCAATTCCAACGGATATTCCAATGCTCTTATTTTCGTTGGAATTTTTCAATGGATTTCAATGGAAATTCCAACAAAAATATTACGTCGGATTCAGTTTTTCATTGGAATTTTCGTTGACGATTCTAATGGTACTTTTTTCAATGGTTGAAATATGGGTGAAAATAAAAATTCCAACGAAAATTGTATATTCCAACATAAATTCCTACGATAAAAATCCGTTGGTAAATTAGCCGTTCAAATTCCATCTATCTTCCAATGAAAAAACTCATTCCAACGGAATAATTCCATTGGAATTTTCATTGGAATCATTCCAACTGAAACTATACCAGTGGAATAATCATTGGAATTTCCACAGTAATATACCGTAGGATTTTTAGTTGAAATATGACATTTTTTTTGTAGTGCACTTTTTTGTCCCATATTTTTTCATTAATCGAACATATAAAATTATTATTTATACACACTTTGTCGAATATCAACACTAATACCTTTGAAAGTGTGATTCATTATTTTAGGTCATGTTTATCTCATTAATCCGGTTTGAGGTATAATAATCCCCCAGCAAGAACAATAATTTATGTGGCCCGTTTGAGTTTAGTCTATTGCTACAAGAACGAGAATTTTTTTATCAAGATAAGGAAAAAGATTGTAGGGTCTGTTGCTTTGACCCAAAATCTTACAAAAATAGGATAGTGAAAAAGAAAAACATCTACCAATTAATTTTACTATACGTACTTCCAAAGCAAACAAAGATCCTTAATCACACAACATTGATGATAANCAAATAATAAACTAGAAGGACTAGGAGGTCAAGGAGATAAATTCCAACCAATCCCTGGTGGCTGCCATAATAGCAACTTGTGGAGGCAAACATTTATCTTCAAATATCCATAGGTTTCGTGACTTCCATAGCCACCAAAGTAAGTACGTTGTCAGTTGAATGCGCGCTTCTACTACATCTGAGTTGCCTATGGTACACACCTGCCACCACCAATCACAGAACTTTGGAGAACTTGTGTCAAGGCCATCCCATTGAACAAGACTCATTTCCCAGAAAGTTTTAGCATGAGAACAGTGTAAGAACATGTGACTAACAGTTTCAGTCCCCTCACCACAGACTGCACAAACATGGTCAATGTTGATCCCTTTTTTCAGCAGATTAGCCCTCACAAGAAGAGTATTGGATCAACACTTCCCAATGAAGTGTTTCAGCTTGGATTGGACTTTCAGTTGCCAAGTTCTGACTCTGGTTTTTTTTATAAGCTGTTGATTGCTGCTGAAGTGAAGAAGGTCCATTGCTAACACCTTTTTCTCAATGAGGAAGGAGTATGTTGAAGCCACTGAAAAGAAACCTTTTTTTCCAAAGCCCCAGAACATCTTATCTTCTTTTGATGGATTCAGAGATGATATTCTGAGAATTTTTTGGCTTTCTTCAACACAGAAAACCTGAGATATTAGCCATTCATTCCAGTTGTAGCCACTGTCAGTCATTAGGTCTTTCACCCATATCAGATGATCCCTTGCAAGCTCCATAAGGTTTGGCTGAAGAGTGTTAAGTGATGGGACCCAGTTGGCATCTGAGATTTTAGTGGTTGCACCATTCCCAATTTGGATTCTGTATCCTTTGGCAAAGGTGGGGAGAACATCTAGCCAACTGTTCCATAACCAAGAGCAGTTTTGGGATTTAACAGCTTCAAATATAGAAGAGGAGAGGAAATATCTGCTTTTAAGAACTTGGCTGACAAGAAGATGTGGTTGAGAGGTGATTCTCCAGAGTTGTTTGCATATTAGGGCTTCATTAAAAAACTTGACATCTTGAAATCCAAGACCACCCTCAGATTTAGGAATGGCCAGCTTGTTCCAAGCTTTCCAATGCAGACCCTTTTCTTAAATTTCACCTCTGCTACACCAATAGGCTGCACAAAGTCTAGAAATCTCATTGATGATCAACCCAGGTAATTTAAAACAAGACACGGTAAATACAGGAATAGCATTGATCACAACTTTTATTAGGACTTCTCTGTCTGCTGGGGATAACAGCTTGCTTTTCCAACTGGTAAGTCTGTTTCTGACTGGGTGAAGGACAAAATCAAAGGCCTCTTTCTTTGACTTGCCAAAGCCAAGAGGCAGTCTGTTTCTGTATGTCAACATGGTTGACTCATTATTTTTTAAAAGTTTCCACAAATGATTTATTGACCTCTATTTTTCAATATATATAGATATTATATTAATTAAAATTATAAGTTAGATAATAATATTAAATTTTAAACATAGAGTATTATAAGTTATATTTATGTATATAATATTAAAAGGCCTAATTGCCGGTAAAATCACGACCTTACAACTTTTTGCCGTTTTAACCAAACTTTTGGAATTTAGCAAATATAACACCACTTTGACTATTTTTGGCAATTCGAATCACCGGGCCCAATTTCGGGCTTTGTCTGCTGACGTGGCTCATGACATGGCGATTCTGCTGACATGGTATTTTTATGCTGACGTGGCTGCCGGCGTGGCTCCTGACATGGCAATTTTATGCTTAAGTGGCGGCAAAAAATTTATGCAAGGGCTAGGGTTCGAACTTGGGACCTCCAAGTTGAATGGTAGACTTATTACCACCACACCAAAGCAAGATATATGTTTAATTTGATAGCGTTTAATCATATGGACGCTACATATGAATAAATCAAATTAAATTTAAAAGATAATGAAATTATAATAAATTATAATAATAAGATATAAACTTATAATAACTAAATATAATAAAATAAATTATATAATATTAAATAAATAAAATAAACTAAAATAAAGTAAAATAAAATATATTATAGTAGAGTGAATTTAAATTAAATTAAGTTTTTTTAAGAAAATAATACGGTTAATTCTTCAAAAATCCCCAATCCACAATTCATCTTCCTTGTCAGTCCCTCCTTTAATTTTTTTACTCTGCACTCCCTAAAGCCATTTGTCTCTTTCCTCCCAGCTCCCCATATATATACCTATATTACTATTATTCATTTATTTTGCTTGATTTTCATAAAAAATTCAATTTCAATTCTTTATGCTCTCTCTCTTCGTCTCTGCGCCTCTCTCTCTCAAAATCAGCCGATCGTCTCTCCTCTAAAAATTTCATCGCCTGTTTGAAAATTCCGTTCGTCTATTCGTTCATTCCCCATCCCGTCGCCGGCCATATATCCGGGAAGCTTGTCCTACTCCTTGCCGTTCCACATCCGTTCTTTTCAAAGAACCTCTTACCCCCAAAACAATGGCGGGCTCGAAAAACCGTCCTCCTCGTCGTTCCACATCCGACAAACCGTCCTTCACAGTAAGCAAGGTAAGATTTTGGGGATTTTTTTCAACAATTTTAAATTATTTCTTCAATTCGAAATTTGGGGATTTTTTTCCAAAATTTTGAATTTTTTATTGAATTCGAGATTTTTCAAAATTTGGTATTAGGTTGATGCTAATGCACTTCGAATTTGAGTTTTATTTCATCAATTACGAATTTTATTGATAAATTAGGTCTCTTTGCATGTCTAGGGTTCATAATTTTTTGATTTTGGTATGTTTTTTGTTATTGTCCATTTTAACTTTATCGTCATCTTGCTTTCCTTCGTCTTCCTCCCTTTTCTTAGAGCACTTGGGTTCGTGTTTGCTTTTTTGTATGTGCGTGTTTCTGCTTGCAGTTGTCTGTGTGGTCATCTTATTAAAATAATATTGTCTCGCTCATTTCAGAGTCATAGGATTGCTGCTCATATTCATAGTAATCCCAATTGATGAAGTGGGGCCGTAAACTATCCAGGTCAGCTTGTGCAATTCTGTATCTTTTTTATTTATTGCCTTGATGCATGCATCGTATTTTTCTTCAGTTTTTATAAGTGAGGTTGGAAATATTGGTGAATGTCTATCAGGTATATATGTAAGCACACGGTTGGTTGTTTTCCGGTGTCTTTGTATGTGGAGGACATTAAAGCCTTTGATCCTAATGAGGCCTACGGTAATTTCAGTAATTTACTGAATTTGATATGCATGGTCTAACCTTTGTTGGTGTAATTGTTTTATGATGTTTGTTGAATATGTTGCTGCTTGTAGCGATTTATCTGATTTTGAAACTTGTCTACATCCAAAATTTCCTTTTTCCTTTGATTTGTCGCATGAATAAGATGTATGCAGTCATTGCTGTAGTGCTATATAAGATTTTTTTTTAACAGTTTCTGACTATTTTAATGTGAATTTCATGTGCAGGCTGTTTTTATGGTATATGTGATTGATGCGATTGATCCCCGTCAAAGGTAAAATAGATATAAAAGGGAAATAAAGTTTATGTTACAGTGCCGCCTTCCTAATTTTCTGAAGCGATCCCTATTCAGGCAATTGGTGTGTGTTGTGCTAGACAGTTTATCTACAGAACTCCAGAACACAAACCGGACAAAGGTATTAAGTTGGGTTTCTGTTATAAATTTAGTATAGAGACTTTCTCTAAAGTCTATATTCACTTACTTATTTTTTATTTTCTGTTAATGCCTAACCAGTATTTGGAAGAGCTCATGATAGTTTTGCTTGAATCAAATCTCTAACCATAGTCCTTTCTAATACAATATGGTGCAATGCTACCATGCTCAATGGGTTAATGTTATGATGAAGACTTTGTTTTCTAAATACTAGCTTGTAGTTTTGGGTACTTTCTTCAAAATCGGAAGTTATTCTTGGCATATCTTCAAGTTTTATCATAATTCAGAAATGCATCTTTCTATTGTAATTACCCATATCATAATTCTAATATAGGTGTTTAGTTTTCTAATTATTATTAGATTGTTTTTAATGGTATTTCTTCTACTTATAAGCTAATCTTACTTTTGATTACTACATTGAATCACTTTTTGTCTAACAGTAGTGGTTGTAGCCACTCTTGAAAACTTTGTTATATCTTTGTGCTTTTCTTGCGATGTGTTGTATGTTCCATTCCGTTGAGTTGATGGTCATGTATGAGAAGCTTATTTGTTCATCTGATTGAATATTTCTTAGGTTGGCGATCTTGGATTGTCCAAGGCAAAACAACATACTTTAGTTTCTGGAGGTATTCGGGGGACATTACCATGGATGACCTGGGTTCAATTTCACTTTGTAAAATGACATACTATAATCATAATGCTTACAGCTGCATTGGGTGTAAATTGGGATCATTTACAAAACGGCCCGAGGGCATGGAAGCACGCATCCTCAGAAATCCTTCATGTTGACACTGTTTGGCTTATGTTGTGAACTATATGTCTGATTGTATATTTTTGGCTTGTCTTTGAACAATAGGTGTTATGAATGTGGATGTTTGGCTTGTTTTTGTAGACTGCTTGGATGATGGTTTTGGAATATGGTTTATGGATGAAAGGGAACAAATGATATGATTTTTGTTTGTTTTTCAAACTGTTACCAGTTTTTCCTTACATAAATATCAACATTATGAGATATTAGTACTCATTTTGTAGAAAGGAAAAAAGATGTGCAAGTTCTTTAATGATACCTGTTTCCATCAGAATAGTATCAGTTTTAGCGATAATAATACCATATCTTCTTCTATGCAGTACCAGTTCTTGATGAATTAGTACCTACTTTGTAGAAAGAACAAAAATGGATTACTTCAATTGTGGTCAACATTTGCAATAATTGGTACCAAACCTAAAGTAAGATAGTACCAGCTTTCGGTGTACTAGATATTGGGTTTTTAGTACCAACTCCGACGAATATAATAAAACACCGAATTTAGGTCTCAAATATTGTTTGTATGACCAATAATCACTCTCACATAAGTTTATATGAGATTTAAAATGTTTTAAATTGAGTTTATCGTAAAATAGTCATGAACTCGACACACTAATGAGAAAACACTACTAATACACTTCATTTCATTAAATGACACACTTCATCTCATAGAATTATCATATATGACTATTCCAAGTTTTGTCAAAGAAAAATAACAATGGGAATAATATGAGTATTTTTTTGTAAACTGATACCCGTTTTAGGTTGTTTAGTACCAACATATGTGAAAGGATGTACCTATTTCTGTGTTAAGTTGTACCAAGTTTTGTCAAAGAAAAATAACAACGAAAATAATATAAGAAAGTATTTTTTTGTAAACTGATACCAGTTTTAGGTTGTTTAGTACCAACGTATGTGAAAGGATGTACCTGTTTCTGTGTTAAGTTGTACCAAGTTTTGTCAAAGAAAAATAACAATGGGAATAATATAAGAGTATTTTTTTTGTAAACTGATACCCGTTTTAGGTTGTTTAGTACCAACATATGTGAAAGGATGTACCTATTTCTGTGTTAAGTTGTACCAAGTTTTGTCAAAGAAAAATAACAATGAAAATAATATAAGAAAGTATTTTTTTGTAAACTAATACCAGTTTTAGGTTGTTTAGTACCAACGTATGTGAAAGGATGTACCTGTTTCTGTGTTAAGTTGTACCAAGTTTAGTCAAAGAAAAATAACAATGGGAATAATATGAGTATTTTTTTTGTAAACTGATACCCGTTTTAGGTTGTTTAGTACCAACGTATGTGAAAGGATGTACCTATTTCTGTGTTAAGTTGTACCATGTTTTGTCAAAGAAAAATAACAATGGGAATAATATAAAAAAGTATTTTTTTTGTAAACAGATACCAATTTTAAGTTGTTTAGTACCAACAGATGTGAAAGATTGTACCTGTTTCTGTGTTAAGTTATACCAACATCCTTTAACATAAAATAATGGTAAATTTCGATTTTAAATGATGTTTATAATACTCAAATCACTCACGCATTGGTTTATACGAGTTTTCTAATGTGTGTAATTTAGTTTCTTTGCCAATTGGTCATTAACTCAAGGTATTAATGAAAAAACATTAATACTAACTATTGGTCATATCATTGAATGATAAACTTCATTTCATTGAATGATCATACATAACTACTATAATTTTCATCTATGTGTTTTCATCTATATGTTTATCTATGATTTGTTGTTACCAAATCATGCGTGAACGATCCACGTGACATGCTACACATGACGGATTAAAAATAACGAAGGGAATGATCAAAGTACCACTTTGTCCGTAAATCAGTACCAAGTTATGTGAAACATAATACCTATTTGTGTGTTAAGTTGTACCAACTTTGCTAAAAGAAAA